TCAAGGTTTCGAAGGGGAAATATGAATGTATAGTAAGAGGGGTGTTATGTACCTTTCTGCCTTGATACCTTTAGGGAAACTTATATTACTTTGAATTATGTTCTATCATAAGTACTTTTTCTCTGTATCCAACTCTGCGAAATGTCCAATGTTTTTTATATATGTTAGAATTTTGCTGTGACCAAAGTTTACTTTCAAGCTAGGAAATTACCTTTCTTATCTATTCCTTTCCCACACATATTTCTTTAGAAAAATTATAACTATATAGTAATTTATTTGAGATTATGTCAGTTCTTTATTCTTTTGTAGAATTATATGTCTATTAGGAGATAAAGTTTTGTTCGTGACTAAATGTAAAACCAGATAGATAAATCTCAAAAAAATGTAAAACTAAGTTCAAAATAGACTGCATTGGTTAAGGAAGCCCTTCAATTCTAAATATGTATGAAAGTTTCTGCATTAATTAATCCTAGTTAGGTTTACTTATATATTCTTCTGATAGTTAATTTGTTTATATTTAATATAAACAAGGCTTTGCAAAGGTTTTGTAGGTGGGGCGAGAGGGGATAGTCTCACTCTACCACTTCCAGAAGTCTGGGTTTAATATCCATATATACTGCTATAGGTAACATCATGTGGGTACATACCTTTGTCGTAAGGCTCATTACATTGTCGTATACTAACCAGTTTATTTTACTCTCTCGTCCAGGACAGGAATGATGTTTATCATTTTCTATGTTTAGAATCTAGAACAGTGTCTTTTATGTGACAAGATATAAATAAATATTTGATGAATGTCTTTTGAGCCCTACAAAGGACATATAACTGATGGTGGAGCAACAATATGTATTAAGATTTATAAAACATAAATTTTATGAATAATGTATATTAGTGCTTGGTCCAGAGATATTAGGAAATGGAATTTGTTTCGTACCTTGCCAGAAATTTGGTAGAAGTGATTTCTTGTTTTTCATTGAATTTAGGCTAACACTAAGTTACCTGTTGTATTTCCCCTGGGCAAAGTGCTGATGATATTGTTTTGGCTATACTCTACATAAATAGTGTGTATTTTATAAAGCAAAAGGTCAAGAAAATCTTTAGTACATTTTTCTTTGCATTTTTTATTAGTAACCGTTGTCACTCGAATGGATGATTTATACATATATATATATCTATATATATGTATCTGAAACAGTGCATCTTTTAGTATTTAATGAATTTGCCTTATCTGAGGATGTAAAAAGTATTTGGATGCCCTTCTAGTTCAGAATTTAAGTAATTTATTGGGTTTTAATGTATTATCAGGTAATTATTAAATAAATGCAAAGTAGATTAGAATGACTTTATAAAATAGATACACATAGACACAGTAATTTGTATTCAATATTTATGAAATAGAGTGCTTTTTTTTGAGAGTTTTTTTTTGGTCAGGGGTAGTGCTCTGGAGCATATCCTATATATATGCTCCAGAGAAATCCACATAAGTGGAGCCTTTTCATCCTCTAAGAGTTGGTGTGATTAGTTAAGTCTGTTTTCTTCTCTCTGTCTCCCTGATTGGCTGTCTTCCTCATGTTGTGCAGCTGCAGAGGGATAACTTGCCCTGCACATTCCTATCCCACTTCCTGCTTTCCCATCAGTATCCAGTTTTTCACCTGCCTCCTGGTCTTCCATTAGCATCAAATCATTATTGTTATTTTTAGAATGAAGAGAATCTTAACATAATTCATAAGTCTCAAAATATTATAATACTCTAGGAAGCATATATACAGTGCTATTTTATAGTAATTTTGATGAAATCTATTTGGGTAAACAGACTGCTTTATCAAGCAATCACTCAGGTTTGTTTTTCTTTCAGATTAGTTATGAATAAGATTTTGGTGCTAGCTTGCTTTTTGGGAACTGTCTAAAATAATTTCTCATTATATTAGGCTTTTCTTTAGGATTTGACCTAAATACTATAGATTAGTTTAAATACTATAGATTAGTTTAGACTAGCTTAACATAGTTCTTATTTGCAATCTGATTGTTTTTTTTTTTTTGGTCAAATTGTCAGTGAGATTAAGATTATTGAATTTAATTCAGTTTCCAGTGATAAGATATTATACTTTAGAAGTGTGGTATGTTCACTGATAAGCACTCTTGCTTTTGAGCATGTTTGTTTTTGTTACGTACGTATTTAACAAAAAAACTAAAAAACTTCTGGGCCATCTTATGAAATAGGAAGCCACAAACTGATCTTATACAACTTGTTGTAGCATTGTAAGGTTGTTATGATTAAACATGTGGTAAAGATGTTGGCCTTGCTTAGTAGATGCTCCTTTTATTTCTCTGTGACTGAAATAACTAAGCCCAAAATATAGAAGATTTTTTATGAAAATTACTTTCTTTAGGAACTTTGTAAGTTTATGTGTAGATGGTGATGTTCCAGTTCCTCGACAATGTCTAGAGTACTGATAACAAAAGAGGGAACATAGTCTTCTTTAAAGTTTGAATTAAACTAGCAATTATGTTTAAATTAGGATGCAGGCCTAGCTTTAGTTTGACAGTTTGGAGAAACAAGTCTTCAGGGTTGTGATACACTGTACTCTTACAAAAAAATTACTAGACATTCTTTTTTGATTATAGAAGCAACATAATGTTTTAAAAATTAAAGTGGCAGAAAAGACTGCCCTTCTTTTCCTCAGACCTACTCACTAGAGCCACGTACTATTAAATTTTTTAAAAATTGCTGTTTTAATTAATTTTTTTTCTATTCCCAGATTTATTATCATTTTAAACATCTTTCGACTTTCACCTCTGAATAATGGGGAAGTTAGTGTGCTTAATTACCTTAAGCATCCAATCACTCTCTCTCTCTAAGATTTGTTATATATTTTTAGTTCTAGTCTTTGGCTTCAGAGAAAATACTAAAAACTTGTTTCTTGACATATTAGCAGTGTCTCTTAACTCCCTGTTATCAAAGATGAGGAATTTAGGGCACTTACTCTTAATTTGATCTTTCTTTTCCCTGTTCCCTTTTTAAATTAGTCATGTTATAATTCAATTTTTATTTTTATGTGTGTTCTTTGCTTTGTATGTAGACTAATTTTGTTTTTACATAAAGTAATTGTATAATAGTCATTCTGAAAATTGAAAACCAAAAATTGGGATTCATCTATATTGATCCTTTAATATTGAAATACCCTAGGTTTCTGAACTCAGTCATCTGTTTTTTCTGCACAGATTTCCAAGGAGATCTCATCCAGTCTTCTGGTTTTACATTCTCCTCAACCTCACATCTGCCAGTACAACTGCTTCCTTGATATCTCTATTCAGATATCTAACTGGTATCTCAAAATGAATATGTCCAAAAGGCAATTCTGATACTCATACCTTCCCTCTCCAAGTCTTCCCACAGTGTACCCCATATCTGTTAATGACAATTTCATTCTCCCAGTTGTTTAGGGCAGAAACCTTCTAGGTTCCCATTTCTTTTCTCTTTAGAAATTCACACCTATATTTGGTTCACTGACAAATTTTTTTGACTCTATGTTCAAAATATTTAAAGCATTGTACACTAGTCACCATATCCCCTGCTACTGTTACCATTGTCTCTTTCTTGGATTGTAGCAATAACTATATAGTTTTTGTATCATCTACTATTTTGAATTATTATTTATTCATATATATAACTGAATTGACAGTATTAATTCAGTGCTAACAAATGTTTATTAAATATTTGCCATAAACTTGGTGCTGGATAGACAGATCAATAAAACACACTCTCTGTCCTTGAAGACATTTGGATCATGAGAACAAATAATTACCATGCATTGTAACACATACAGTGAGGAAATATACATAAGGTTCATAAATCGAAAGTCTGTTTAGCTTGGGCTAATCCTATTGATTATATCAAAGAAACCAGATGACAAGCCCAATTGCAAGCCCAACTAAAAAGTATTTTCACCAACATTTAGATGCCAAAGCAGCCTTTTATACTTGCAGAAAAAAAGAAATGTTTTTGAAACTGCTAAGAAATGACTAGAAGTCTGTCTACTGATGTGTTGGTTTTGGTTTTGTTAGCTGATTTAAGGAAGAATTATTAGAGAGGATATTAGAGACTTCTGAATATACATATAGTTACTATAGGAGTTCCACTTAGAGGTTTGTTAATTTAAAAGTTCTAATGAAAAAGTCTTGTGATGACATACTTTATTAAGACTTCAAAATAAAAAGATATAAAAGTAATACATGTTCATTGTAAAAATTGAAAAATACAGAAACATGAAGACTTTTATATATAACATCCTGTTTTTTTGCCTTTTCCACTTAATATGTCTTCTTTCCAGTTTAGTGTATACAGATTTACCTCATTAAAAAATTGTTGCATGATATTTCTTTTTTTATCTGTAATATAATTTAAGCAAGCTCCTAATTATGGACATTAAGGTTGTTTCCAGTTTTTCCCATCATATCTATTACTTTGTTGGATGTGTTTATATATTTTTGTGCATTTGTATATGTATGAGATAATTCCTAGCCTTGAAATTGCTGGATGAAAGCACATGCATTTTAAATTGTCCTCCAAAAAATTGTTTTTGTTTATATTCTTATCACAAAAGTGTATGAGAATACTAGTTTTCCTACATTCTTACCAATGTTGGATATAAGTACACTTTTTAGTTTTTGCCAGTGTAATGAAAAAAAAAAAAAAGAATCTAATTTTATTTCATTAATTAAAATCAGATTTAAGCATCTTTTCAAATTTTGAACAATCTTATGTTTTTAACTTTGTTCTTCCTATTTATCTTCACTTGGAATATTTTCTCCTTTTGTTTTTCTCTGAACTTTAATCGTTCTTCAAGGCTATGTCAAAACCTGTTATTTTTTTTTTTTATTGTTGGATTTCCCAGTAACCTCAGCCTAAAATGATTCTCTCTCCTAATGTACTTAGTGCTTTATTTTCCATTTATCACAATTTTATGCCAGTCCTAATACATATGATTTTCTTCTTTTAGGATTTCCAGATTTACAGGATGGCTAAACATTAATGGAAAGAGAAGCATAAACCTTCTTCTTTCACTATGGAGGCAAGTTTGGCAGATGGAGAACCTGACCGAACTTCGGTGAGTGGTTCAAATACAGCATAATAATACAGCTATCATCTACAGCTGTAAAATGTATGATGTAAGCCATGATTTTATTTTAAAATGTATTTAAAACAAACTTAAAGTATTTTAAAACAATGCTTTTTACTCCTCTGATGATATGAAAGTTACAGATAGTTAAAATCCTTTTGGAGCATAACCCAGCCAGTTTTCTCATATTTCTGCCTCATCTCCCTTTCCTCTTCTCTTGCCTTCACAGATATAAGAAATACCGATATAATAGTTTGTGTTTATGTTTTCCCCCCCAAAATTATTGTCTTAGTGAAATCAGGAGGTGTTAAAAGTTGAGGAAATTAAACATCTCCAAATCTCAAATCATGTGCAGCTGTGAGCAGGCAGATTGCTAGAAACAGTTAAAATAATTAAGAATTAATAATTAAGAATTAAGAGCACATATATTCTTTCTATAAAAGTATAAAGATTTAATTAAAGATTTGTAATTGTGATTGAATTATATTCTGAACTTAAATAAGTAGGGATAGCAGTTAAGTATACCTTATCCAATAAGTAAAAAATAAAATCTACCTGTAGCGTAGATTAAATGATAATTTATTATTGTAAAAAAAAAATTTTTGTTACATGATAATTTTGTTTCAATTCTTTTGTACTTTGAGTGATTCCATTAATTTATTTGTCTATAGATTTTTTATTATGAATATTTCTGTTACCTAAGTGAGGGGTGCTACTGTAAAATGTTGTCAGCTAGTAGCTCTATGATTTGTTAGATAGAAGATTCTTTGACCAATTTATATTTTTGGAATAATGTGGGGGCCAGTTTTTCTTTCACATTGCTATGAAGTTGAGAGTCACTATTACATTGAGGTGTTTGTAAATTTTAACTTAATGAATGTCCTTTGTTCAGGCTCAAATGAAGGAATGGTCTAATGATTGATAGAAAAATGCCATTTTGCTTACCTGCATTATCTTGGTCTCACCCTTTCTTGAATTTCTGGTTCAAAATTTGTTTTAGTTTCTTAAATGGTCAAAAAAAAGTTAAACTTTAAAATTTAGTAGAGAATAAAATGGACATGGAAATAACTTGATTTATGAACATTATTATGATTATAAGTGGAAAACTGATGGTAGGTTATTTTGTTTTTACTATAATTTCAGAAAAAAAGTTAAGATTAAAGCTTTGTCTTAGACTATGATGTTTACTTTTCTATAAATAGCTTCTTATTTAAAGCTAATGGATTTAAGTTCTTTTAGCTGAAATCTCTTAGTGGTAATAAAATCTCTTAGTGGTAATAAAAATGCCAGTAATAACAATTGCTGTTTTCTAAGTGTATACTTTGTCAGACTATCCTCATAACAACCATTAAAAGTACATATTTGTTTATTCTTACTTTTATAGATAGGGATATAGACTCGGGGAGGTTTATTATCTTTTCTACCAGCTCACAGCTTAAGTGATGGAACTGAGGTCTGTCTGTCTCTACTTTGCCAGTAAGATTTTGACTGTGTATCTGTATTTCTGAATAGAATTGCTTAAAATTTGTTACCTTTTAAAATAAGTATTTAAGTAGATAGTATTAAATTCCATACCAGAATATCTATACTGTATTAATAAAGTTTTAATAGTTTTTTATCCTAAATTCTGTTGATACTGAGAGTTGGAGCAAGTTATTTAAAATGCAGTAAGAGCACTCTTTTTCTTCTTGTTTATCAAGTTTCTTCTGTGAAATCGCTCATTTTAGAGAGAATACCAATAATTTTAGTATGAACTACTGAACTATTCTGTACTTGAAACTAATCTTGAGGTCTACTTTTGAGTTACTCATTTATAAAATATCACCTTTGAACTGCATGGCCTGAGCTAGTTACTGTTTGGATTTAAGGTAAGTGGACGAGAATATGGGCTCTGTAGACATTTGGCTACGTGTTAAAATCTGAGCCCTGTCGCTTAGTTGTATGACCTGGATAATTAAATTCTCTAGGCCTCCAGTTTCCTCATCAATTAAATAAAAATAATAGTAATGTTTACCTCCTAGAGTTGTTTTGAGTTTTAATTGAGGTAATATATCTAGAAAGTGCCTATTACAAAGGTATACACATTGTAAACATCCAATAAATAAAAGCTATTATTGTTATTAATGTAAGTATTAATATTAAGCCTTCTCTCTAAAAAGGTAAATAATTAGAAGGCAGGAGAGACAGTAAAACACACTGAAGAAAGCCTAGGCTATTCTGTAATTTTGGCTTTACACTTTCTCTTATTCTCAATTTTTCTACCTAAAATATTGAGGCAAATATTCTATTTCAATAAAAATATATAGGCAGAAGTACTCATCCTTCCTACTTGATAGGGACAGTATGATCTATTAAAACTAGAAAGTTCTTCAAAAATATAAAATAGTGTGTCATTATGAGGTAGTAGTCTTTTTAAAAAATCTTATTGCATGCAGTGGTTTTTAAAATATTATCAGTAAACTTTTTTCGGATGCAGCCTTTGTACAAAGTACTGAGACAGATGAAGGGGATACTGAGAGATATAAATTGAAGTCTGTCTGAATTACATTTATTTTGGGAAGACTAAATAGAGGGGCAGACTGATAAAACAATAGTATTTAATAAGTGTTAAATGAGGGACAAAAGGCATAGTTCACAAGTTGTGAAAATTGAGCAGTTGCTGTACAGAGGGGGGAGTCAGAAAAACTTTCTTAAGAGAACGTAAACTTTGAATAGCACAGGTAATAGGGATCATAGGATTGAAACAAACAGGAGGAACATTTTAGGAAGGGAGAATAATAGCAAGAGGCAAGGCTAAATGGGAAATTACTTGCTCCGGGTTTATTCAGGGAAAAAAGTAGAAAAATTGATTAAGGTAGATTGAAGGGAGTGGTGTTTACAGGAATAATGATTGATGTGGCAGATAGAGACCAAATTTAGGTCTCTATCTTAAAGTGCCAGACCAGGGGTTTTGAACTTAACTCTGTAGGCAATGATATGTCATTGAATATTTTTATGTGGTTGGATAAGATGAATCAAGAAGCAGGATATAAAATGATTGGGAAGAGTGAGAGATAAAAATATTAAGTAAGATACTATTATAGTAGTCTAGATGTAAAGTTGTGAAAGCTTGGACTCAGTTTGATTTGATGTCTATTCATTTAATTTTCTTCTTTCACATGATATTATCTTTTCTGTCTTTTAAAAATTAACTTGCTCATTCATTATTCCAGCTGCCTATAGTTCTATTTTTGTGGTAGTGTTGTTTGTCTTAGGTGGTAAATACTGAAAAATATGGATTGAATCCTATACATGGCACTAATGTACTTCAGGACACAAGTGTACATTTAATATGTCTTAAAATATTTTGTAAAGGTCCAGAATTTATATCACTTTAGAAATTAACCACTGAGAAATGCTTAAATTGTAGGAGTCATTTTTATTAGTAGATTAAGGTAGACCAAATAAGTAAATATCATTTTAGATAAAAAAAATTTGTTCCTTACCTTAAGGAAAGTCATATCTTTTGAATATCTTATATATTATTTCTATTACCAGAGGAAACTGCTTTATAAGGTCTATTAGAGGTCAGAATCTTTTGTTGTATTAAAAAATGATTGTATAAATGATTTTTTAGAAGAGAGTAAAAGTTTTTAAGATATGTGTGAATCTTTGTAGTATTAATAGGAGTTCTGAATTAAGGAAGTCTTTCTTGAGATTCTATTTAAATTGGGTACTTTGAATCAAAGGTTTTCTGAAGTCAAAGAAACTGCAAAGATAATTTAGTTCAGTAATTCTCAGAATGTATTAAATGAGTGTTTTCCTAATGGGCCTAGAGATGATCCAACTTCCTGAAACTTCGATTTTTAGATACTTACTACAGTAAGTTTTTCATGATTATTGTGATTTAGTGCTCATAAAGTAAAATTGGTTATGTTATTAGAGTGTATTGAAAGCTTTAAATCATATTCTAAGAAGTGTGGCTACTATATATACCATTTAGCAACATCGTACAGCGTATATGGGCATGCAAATTAATGGAATTGCCCTAATTTTTGGTAATGTCAAGTATTATTTTGAGTGGGTCACAGTTTTTAGATGTTGCTATTTTTTTTTTGTTATAAATACTGTTTAGCTTCATCATTATCATTATCGATTTAGTATATTGTGTTTTTAGTCATAGCATATTTGTAATGACAGTATTTTTGGTGTACAGTTTCCCAATAATTGGCCTATAAGACAGTTATGCATGCAAGTAAATTATAAATTATCCACATGCTAACTACTAATCTCACAGTATTGTTGTACAATGGCACTTGGTGGTTTTTATAGATTCCTGTCCCTCCACCCTCTGGAAAGTGACAATGATGGAGAAGGGCTGTGAAGTTTCTTATCTCATCTATAACAAATAGGCCTTAGTCAGAGTTTGAGGGCCACCAAATTTGGTGCATATCTCATCTATTATTTGAATATTCTTTGAGACCTGCCTGTTAAGTGTTTGGCTAATGCCTAAAATATTCAGGATTCCCTTGGTAAAGGCCTATTTGCTTTTCTTCTCATTTAACAGTAATTATGCTATCAGCAGAGCCTTTTGTAAACTTCTCAGTCCTGTGGCTACTTTTCCCCTTTAGTCTTTGTGGGAAATTTAGAGATTCTTTAGTCCGATGATCTGCCTAATGTAAGAATTCTATCTACGGTATTCCCCAATAGTTGGTCATCCAGCCTTGCCATGAACATGTATATGTAACTCAGTGTCTCAAAAGACAGCTGAAATCATTGTACTTGAACTGGTTTCTCTGTTAAATTTTACCACTAGTCATTATACTAGTTTCCTATTTTTGCTATAACAATTTACCACACACTTAGTGCCTTGAAACAACACAAATTTAACATCTTTCAATTCTAGATCTCAGAAGTCTAAAAGCAATATGTTGTGTTCCTTCTGTAGGATCTGAGGGGAGAATGTGTTTCCTTGCTTTTATCAGTGTCTAGAGGTTGCATCCATTCAT